GGGCACCTGTAGTCCCAGCTACTCTGGAGACTAAGGCAGGAGAATGGTGTGAACCTGGGAGAAGGAGCGTGCAGTGAGCCAAGATTGTGCCATTGCACTCTAACCTGGGCGACAGAGCGAGATTCCGTCTCAAAAAAACAAATAAATAAACACTACTAAAAAAAGTAAAAGCAGCCAGATGAGATGGTGTGTGCCTGTAAACCTAGCTTTTTGTGGGAGGCTGAGGTGGGAGGATTGCTTGAACCCAGGAGGTGGAGATTGCAGTGAGCCGAGATTGCGCCACTGCGCTCCAGCCTGGGTCACAGAGAGAGACTCAGCCTCAAAAAAAAAAAAAACGACGACGACGACCGGGCGCAGTGGCTCACGCCTGTAATTCCAGCACTTTGGGAGGCCGAGGCAGGCAGATCACCTGAAGTCAGGAGTTTGAAAGCAGCCTGGCCAACACGGTGAAACCCCATCTCTACCAAAAATAAAAAAAAAAAAAAAAAATAGCCAGGTATGGTGGTGGGTGCCTGCAGTCTCAGCTACTCAGGAAGCTGAGGCAGGAGAATTTTGAACTCAGGAGGTGGAGGCTGCAGCGAGCCGAAATGGCACCACTGCACTTCAGCCTGGGTGACAGAATTGAGACTTTCAAAAAAAAAAAAAAGGAGTAGCATCACCAGGTCCAATGGGCAGACACGCTCCGTCCACCCCACTGATTAATTCTGGGCACGCGGCTGTGTCCCTAGGCGCTGCTAGTCCCCCAACCACTGAGGGCTCTAGAGCCATACTGGGGAGGCAGACAGGTGGGGAGACTTCCACGGTGCAGGTGCTGAAACCGAGGGTCCCAGGGGTCCCGGGAAAAGTGGCCTGAGCACAACCTCGAGGGATGAGTAGCGGACGCTGACAGGGCAGAGGCGGCATGGGGTGTAGAGGAATGGGCTGGGGCAGACAGGGGCCACAGCTCACAAGGAGGCTGCGCTGACCCACACAGGGCCTCCTGGGCCAGGCCAAGAAGCTGGAAGTGCACCCAACGGCCAGGATGGGGGAGCCAAGGAACACAAGTAGGGCAAAGGTCATGAGGGGCTGCGGGTGAGTAGGGAGGTCCATGGGACTCTCCTGGTTGGCAGGAAGAAAGGGGACCGATGAGAGGAAAACCAGAAAGAGGCTGCGCATGAGAGGGGTCAGAGGTTCACGGCAACGCCCACAGCAAGGAAGAGTGGGGGAAGTTTTCCTCCCAGATTGGGCAGAGGATGAAACGCTGGGCAGGAGGCGGGAGGGGTGGGTGCTAGCGGCCGGCTCCTCAGCAGGTGCTCGGGCGGCTCCACCAGAACTCCCCCGGGACCCGCTGCTCACCTGGAAAGAACACAAACATCTGGTCGGTGGGGTCATCGTTGTGGGCCACCAGCACGGTGAGGTCAGTGCGCCGCGGCCGCCCCTCACTCGGCTTGTCTCCAAATTGGGCTTTGAACTCCTCCAGTGTCTGGTCAAGCTCGTCCTGGGTCACTAGGTAGCCACGGTCGTGGCACAGCTGCAGAGAGAAAGAACCAGCTGACCCCAGGGCAGAGACAGGAAGGCGGCCAGAGCCCGTGACCCAGAAGTCAGACCTGCGGCTGCTGCAGAGGACAGAGGTGAACAGCAAACGGAATGAACACTCGCTGTGTGCCCCATGACAGCCATCCTGGCCCCCACAGCCTCACACCACAGGATGGGACCAGCGTGAACCCGAGAGGCTCGCAGAGGTGTCCAGCCTTGACCAAGACCGTCTGTCCATCCAGCCTCACAGGAACCTGGCAGGGGGCAAAGCCCTCCAAACCACTTTGCAGAGCTACCCTAAAGACAGGGACAAAGACGGGGCGTGGGGGGTCACGCCCGCGATCCCAGAGCTCAGGGAGGCCGAGGCAGGAGGGCTGCTTGAGGCCAGGAGTTCAAGGATGCAGTGAGCTATGACTGCACCACTGCGCTGCAGTCTGGGCGACAGTGAGAGCTTGTCTCTTAAAAAAAAAAAAAAAAAAAAAAGACAGGGACCGAAACAGACGTGACTTCAGGCTGACAATGTTTGCGGCCCGGAGGAAGGAGAATCAGGCTGCGGGGGGCTTCGCTAAAGACAAGGGCATGGGGTGGGGAAGCAAGACAAAACAAAAGCTCCCAAACGGCCCCAACGGCTGAGGGAGGACCCTGAACCGCAGGCCCTCAGGCCTTTGCCCAGTTTTCAAACCGGAGTCGGCCCAGTGGCCTCCATCTGTCTCAGACCCCAAGGCACGGGTTCCGGGCTCCACGTCCCCATCGAAAGCCCCAGCTCGCCTGCTGCTTCCCAACCACCAACTCCGCCAGCCTCGGAT